GGAGGGGAATGAGAAACTCACTTAGAAGTGAGTGAAAGCAAGATCGTAGGTACGTAAGGTAGGGTAGGGTAGGATGGGGTGGGGTAGGGCTCCGCGTTCCGTTCGTTTGTTCGGGCCACTAGAGAGGTTCTAGTTTGTGGTGATGGGGAGTTGGGTTGGATTGAATTGGGTTGAATTGGGTTGAATTGGATTGAATTGGGTTGAATTGGATTGAATTGGATTGGATTGAAGAGGTGGGTAGGTTTTTCGCGTACCGTGCTGATGTCCTCCCGATGGTAACTTGGAAAAGGATGGGAAGGGTAGGGTAGGGTAGGGTAGGGTAGGGTAGGGTACTGCTGATCGGAGAGGAGAGGAGAGATGGTTGGGATTTGTTTGTTTGCTTGTTTGTTTATTAGCAGTTGAATCGGCGAGAGGCTGCTGTTCAAGATGGTGGTGCTGATACCGGTAGTTCGTTCAGTGGTGGGTTAGTGAGCGAGTGAGTGAACTTAAGGCTTGAGCTGTTGAGTGAGTTATTGAGATAGATAAGTAGTTCGCTGATTGGTTGGTTGGTTGGTTGATTAATTGATTGATACATGATTATTTTTTAGCTGGTACAGTACTAGGCAACTGCTGTTAGCCACTTAAGCGAGAACATTCAAAATCAATTTTAAATATCCAGCTATCACTTCTCGATTTCGTAATAATTACAAATGCAAACCAAACAAAAATAGCACCATTCCCTTCCTTAGATCTCTTTTATTTGTTTTTAGTTTTTTGCTTGATCGTTCGAATGCGTGCGGACCTTAATATTTAGTATGCTAGCTTCTAGCCGCGATGTAAGCTTTGATTCTATCCGGCATACTTTTATACAGACTATCGAATAACGACTAATTCAATTTATCTTTTGCGGCTTATGAACAACTCTTTATCTCTTGCTCTACCTAATTTGAATTCGTTACATCGATCGCAACGTCGGAAAACATTAAATAGAGCTTTTTTTTTTAAAGATGCTATTAAACGTGCTCCATCGGATTAAAATCGAGAGAATAAACTAGCCAATTGATTAATAAAATAATACTCCTTTAACTAAAATAAAGCCGAAACTCTGATGCCCTATAGATCAAAGCTTTATTACATGAAAGTTAATATTTGTGTCGTAATTTTCGAAAGATCAATTAAACTTTAGCTTCGAAGACTTCGGCATAAAACCATCCCAAATACTTACATATCCTCGCTTCAAAAACCTCGATTTATGACACACATTCGTTCATCGAACGACAAACACAATTTTCGCCGGAGCAGTTTTCGGTATAGATCTACTCTCCGTGCGCAATACTACCTGCTTTCGAATATGATTAATCGCGCGACGAAGCATTTCGAAAGCTCTCGCGATAAACGAATCGGATTTGCATCGCGAGCAAAGCTATCGATAACCAACCTCTACTAATACACAAAGAAACGATATCAAATAAGCCGATCATAAAAAGTCGTAGCGAGAAGGATGCGTTGAGGGGGGCATTTTTATAGCTGTTGTAAGGGGATTGTAAAAACGCGTTATCGCGAGAGATGGCGGTTTGACCGCTTCTCGGCTATCAGTTGCTGCGGGGAACTAGATTGGACTTGGGCGTTTTGTTTTCTGGCTTGGACGGGCTTGCTAATACCTTAATTGCAGGGGAGCGCGGGCGGAAGGGTTTTTCTTATGCCTTTTTTTTTTCTTCTTTTTCTCTTTTTCCTTTGTGTTTTTGAGGTAGGCATGGATGGAGAGGATGTGTGTATGTTTATATGTATGTAAACAAATGAGTAAATAAGCGAGCGACGACGGGGGCAGTGAACGCGCCGCGGCTACCGCTGCCGCTGCCATGGGGATTTGGATTGGATTGAATTGAATTGTATTGGAGGAGATTGGAGGACATTGACAGACAGATTTGATAGCTAATGCGCTGATGGTTCTTGGACGTTGAGAGATAGGAAGCGGGTTGGTTATCACTCTCTTCGGAAAGCAGCTTTTTCTTCGTAGAGCAAGTTCAGAGAGCTGAATTCTATTTTTCAAAGATGTGTTGGTGGTGAGCAGGTCTGATATGATAGTCGTCTCGTCTCGTCGATGATGTTATTATAGATACTTAGGTTTTTTTTTTTTTTTTTTTTTTTTTTTGACGAGGTGAGCCTGAATTCGAACTTGAACCTGAATCTGGGGCTCTCTCTGCATGAATTACTGGGTGGATAGTATTCCGGATATCGATGATTGCTATATATGACTTAGTTTATTGGTTGGTTGTGTATACCTCGACCTCGAATTCTACAAGCACACACTTACACACACATAAATGCACCGCTAACCGCAGAGCAAGGGAGCAAGCAGCAGCATGGGTCCTCGGCCTGCTCGTCTTCCCAGGCGGCTCGTGCTCGTTCTCGTCCAAGATCTGCTCGTCTTCAACCACGTCTAGAGCGGCCGGGCCGTTCACTTCCTGGGGAATGGGAATGTGGATGGGGATGTGGATAGGAACTGTAAGCATTTTTCTTTCCGGTCCTCTTTCCTGTCCTTTCCTGTCCTTTCCTGTCCGGTTTATTTGATCACACCCGTCGATTTAACGATTGGACATACTAAAATACACACACATATACATATACATATATCACCCAACGTGGGTACATACATACATACATATATGGCAATACAACCCCCCCAGCCCCCCACCAACCTCAACCCAGCAACCCACGCCTCACGAACCAATTTAATCCTCTGGCTCGCTTTCATCTATCGTGTCTGCAGCTTGCAGTGCTAGTCCCGATGTTACCTTTACTACTACCTCTGCGGTCGAGGGGGAGATGCTAGACGATGTCGGCTTGGGACATTTAAATGGAAATGGAAAAGAGAGGGGAATATATCGGCTTAGAGCAGGATCTGTTTAGCGCTCATGGTAGTGGTAGCGTTGATGGTGGAGAGGAGAGGGGCTATAGTGTATGTAAGAAGAGCAAGAGCCAGGGAAGGGCAGGGCAAAAGGAGGCATTTGAAGATGCGGTGGTGTGGTGATGGGTGATGGGTAATAGGCGAAACGAAAGAGAGCCGGAGAGACTGTAGGTAGGTAGGTAGGTAGGTGATTCCGGGTTCATTCCTAAGCTGAGCGAGCGCTGCGCTAGATGAAGACAGCAAGCCAAGCGCGGGCATACCGAGAAACGAACAAGTGACTTCCTGATCCTGTCCGTACCATGCCTGGCCATGCATCCAGGAATTCCATCCTATCCTATCTTTCTACCCTGAACGCACACCGGTATACATACATACATATATACATATCGGTAGACACAAACGTCTGTGATTGATTGCATCTTTCTTGTCGTGTTTTCCTTCGGCTTCAGTCGAGGTTCTCTACGTTTCTGTCTTGAAGTGGTATCTGGCCGTTTTCCTCATCGTGATGACGCCGGCGGGAGGATGATCTAGGGAGTTAGGTGGAATGGTTAGCTTTTTTTGTATGATTTTGTGGTGGGATGGAATGCAGGATGGGATGAGATAGAGAAGGAGAGGAGAGGAGAAGAGAGAACAGACAGCACAGCGCAACATTGCCAAATACAGCGCGGCAGAACGAAAGCACAGAACAGAGCATCACACAACACAACACAACACAACACCAAATCAGAATCAGAATCGCAGGCCGGAATCAAACCACATTAGAAATGATCACACCAAGGGGGGGGGATCTAAACTCCAAGACCCAAGAACTGAGAACAGCCGGGGAAAGAGCAAGTGATGGAGGTAGGTAGGTCGGTAGATGTGGATAGAAGAAAACAACTCACTGCCCGCGCCGATGCAAGGTCCTCTGACGGCGGTAGTATAAGTAGCTGTGGATGAAGACCGTGATGACACAGCCAGTAGCGAAGCCCTCGACGGCTGTCATACCGCTGGAGAAGGAGTTGATGGCTAGTTGTTCCTGGTGGCGCAGACAGCGTTAGCTTGCTTGCCGTTTTCATCTTTTTGATTTTGTCTTGTTTTCTTTTTGAGTGTGATATGGGATATGGGAGATGGGATATGGGGTAGGTGTGATGTTTCTGGGGTTTGTGTTTGTGTGGATACGAGAGTGGTGTATCGGGAGTCGTTCCACTTGAAGTGCTCGGTCTAGGGGGAAGAGGAGAAGGGGAGCTCACGCGGATTCCCATTGCGGCGGTGGGGGAGGTTTTCTTGAGGCTTGATTTGTCTTGTTTGAAGGTTGAGATCGAGATGGCGATGGCGATGGCGATGGTGCTGTGCTTGCTTGCTGTCTTGGTTTCGACGTAAATCGATCTAAATGAGTGTGGTGGGTGTCGACGCTGAGCAGAAAGTATCTTGGGCGGAAGGCGAGGTTTTGTTTTCTCTAGATGGGAGAGAAGGAAGTCTACCGAGTACGCAGCTGAGGTATCGTACCGAAGTTTAGATCGGCTATGGGTCGGCGCGAGTGGTATCCGAGAAGAGGTGACGAGAAGAGTTGAAGTAGATGTTCAAACTACATGATGGAAGATCACACTTGTATTTCATGAAGCAGTTATTTCCTACTCTTAATATACGACGGTTTTTCTGGGTACATGGTTTGCTTTTGGTAACTGTCAAGTGTCAAGTGTCAACTGGTCCACTCCCTCAACCATAACGTCGATTCCCTCTGGACCGTGGACAACGAGCATAGATATGTAGTATACCTGGTCGATGGCTTCAACCACAAGACGTTGCTTACTTGCCTTACCGCGCACGCCGATATTTACATCTGACTTGGCTTTGATCCTTTTGGGGAAGTGCTCGAATACGGTCGGTTACGAAACCATATGCAGCTTGGGGATGGGTAGTGGATGAAAATTCAATTCATAGCTATACAGATCGACAGGGCAAAGAGCGAGTCGCAAGATAGAAATCATGTTTAACCATGATCGTGGGATTCTCTCTCTCTCTCTCTCTCTATCTCTATAGGTATATATATATACCTCATGGAATGGACTCAACGACGTGCTATGCGCAACACGGGAATTCTTGGCACACGTGACTTGATGCCTGAGGCACACAGCCGGACATCTCGTTGCGCACGAATCCCAACACGACGAACCTCAAACTCCAACACGACATCACCATCTAACAACTTTCCGAAGATGCAGTCTGGATGGGAAGAGAATCGCTGCCAGAACCCCAACAGGTAAGTCACTCACCACCAGCATGGCGTTGGGGTTGCGGGTGCCAAGAGCACAGCACCGCCAACCCTCCTGATGCTGGTGATCCCCTTCCTATATGTTTCTGTCTCTCGACCAGCTCTGCCTTTCGATGTCTTCTTCTTAGATACATCTCTTTATTGCAACCGGCCCTATCCTCCGAGCTACTCCCCGTATTCTCTGATGAGATATTGGGGGTGGTTGGCCTCTCTCCCTCCTCATCAGCCCAAATTCCCCTCCAGAGCCGGCTCGCTTGTTCGGCCAAAATGCGCTAGCAAACCGCTGCATATCTTCGCATCGACGCGCTGCTCACAGAACAACAATCTCGTCGCCGCTCCATCCCACGACAAACATCGACATCCACCTTTCGAAAATTTGAGCGAAACATCTCCCACCTCTCGTTAATCATCAGCCATGGCCGGTGGAAAAGGAAAATCGTCGGGCGGAAAGTCTTCTGGGGGAAAGAGTGGTCATGATGCCTCAAAGAAGCAGCAGAGTCACTCCAGCAAGGCGGGACTTCAGGTTAGTATTGCGCAAATCTCTCTGCAGCATCCTTGGAGACATTGCATTACATTTTGGAGGGTTTATGAGGTCTGGTTCGACGGCGGACTCTCGATACCTACTCCCCGCATCGTGCGCGTCATTTGCATCAACAGCAACAACCAAAAGGCACGATAGCATGGACGTGGAGGAGAACGCGATGCGCGGCAGGTTTTCTGGGCATACAAATCATCGGATTATCTGCTGAAGGGGCCTCAACTTCGATCACTTGCGACGCGCCGCGATATCAACAAATCCAAGACATTGGATTCCTTCCCAGCACTCTGCAGAATCAGAACTCTATAACTTCCAAATTTGCAGGGCCAAAAACATACGCGCGAAGGGAACCACAGATGTGCTAACTCGTTCTGTGCGGCAGTTCCCTTGCGGTCGTGTCAAGCGTTTCCTCAAGAACAATACTCAGAACAAGATGCGCGTGGGGGCCAAGGCCGCCGTCTACGTTACCGCTGTCCTCGAATACCTGACTGCCGAAGTTCTTGAGCTCGCAGGAGTGAGTCAACTCTATGGTCTGTCTGCATGCGTCGCGCTAATCTATTGTGTGCAGAACGCTGCCAAGGATCTCAAGGTCAAGCGCATAACTCCTCGCCATCTCCAACTCGCCATCCGCGGTGACGAAGAACTCGACAGCCTCATCCGTGCTACCATTGCCTTCGGAGGTGTCCTGCCACACATCAACCGTGCTCTGCTCCTGAAGGTCGAACAAAAGAAGAAGAAGAATGAGGAAGCGGCATGAATGTTGGGTCTTTGGATTTGATTTGAGGCTAGGCAACTACGACATCTGATTCTCTTTTCATTGTATGGGCGGGTCAGGGAAGATACCGGGGGTGTCTGGGTTTTTTTTTTTCCTTTTTGCTTTTCGCTTTTGCTGCTGGTTCCGCATGGTCGGTTCCGTTATGAACGTCGGATGCGACGATGCGCGTTCCTGCGGACTTGTGGGAGGTCTTAAAAGAGAGGGCTCGAAGCTTTTGCTGCAGCTGTACCAATACCATTTTTTCTTTCCTCTCAGGTGATGGGCACGATTTGGGGTGACGAGCCGAAAATATGGTGGGTCAACCTCGCAAAGACTTGATAGAGCTGACTTGGGGCTGTCCAGACACTTTTCGTTGACCGGCCGAGATGCCCACGTTGTTCTTTTCTTTGTTCATCATCACTGCTACTGGAACATTTCCTGATTCTGCGTGATGTTTATTGCGATGTCCTCGGGTAATCCGATGTCAAAGAAAGCTCATTGACAACAAAGGAAATCTCCGCTTACAGCACGAGGTTGGCCTTCCTTCATTCACCCAGCCTCTTGGATGGTCGCTGAGCTAGGATGATGCTCACTTACAGCAACTCGTTCTTCTATCTTCATGCATAATATATACGTGACATTGATCGTCGCTTAGTTTCCCGGTCGGGTGTTGAAATCAGCTCTGTCGGTTCAACTGGCATATTCTCTGTCAATTCAGACTTCAGATCTCTTGAGCCGCAGAGCTTTTCTACCACCACGTACTTTTCTCAGACACGATACTCAATCATCTCTCTTGCTTGCCACCATCTTGTCTCATCTCACAGACTTTCATATATATAATCAGGATGGGTCGCCGCAGACCAGTCTTCCGTCTCACTTCCACGCCAACACCACTACACAAGACCTCACAATCGCCCACCTCTCCACGCTCTCCTCTCTCACCACCTCCAATTCCAGCACTACCCCGTCCCTCCACGCCAACCTCACCCTCCAGCACGACCAATGGTCCCCTAACGCCCCCACTCCGCCTACACCTCCGAGCCATCATCCCATCGCCCCCACTTCCCGCCGAATACTTCAAGACCGCGCCTCCATTCCCTTATCCGTGGATCTGGCGTTGTCACCTATGTCGCAGCGTCTACCGCCTCGGCGTCACGCGCCGCTGTCTCGAAGACGGTCACTTCTTCTGCTCGCTGCCCTCCCTGCCGACACCATCGCCATCGCCACCGAGTCCCGACCTCCCAGCCGCAGTAGCAACGAAACCCGACGACATCCTGTCCATGCCTACGCTGTCTGGAACTCCGGACCCAGCGCTCGAACTCAAAGCCGCGTCCCGGAAATCCCGAGCCCAGCGCCGGAAGAACAGGCGGCGGGCGGCGAGTCGCGGCTGCCACGCGGAATTCGACTACGGCGGCTGGGCGGGGTACAATACCTGGCGGGGCGAGGTGCGGCTTCTGAAGAGGGAGAGGATGAGGAGGGCTGTCACGAGGAGTAGGACGAGGGTGATGCGCGGTATGGATGGTGTTGATGTGCGAGGAAAGGGGAGCGCGTGGGCGTCGGGGGACTGGGACTTGGAGCGTGGATCTGGGCCCGGGCCTGAGCCTGGGCCTGGCAGATCGGGATTTGGTTCTGCGTGGGGGAGGAGAGGGCAAGGGTGGAGCAGTGGCGGGGGTAGGGATTGCTGGCGCGACTGTAATTTCCCGAGCGAGTGCCACCACGAGCGCAGGGAAGAGCGGCTGTGGGAGGCGAAGATGAGGGAGGAGAGGCGGTGGGAGGAGAGCGAAGAGGATCTCTCGGGATCCGAGTCCGAGTCTGAGTCTGAGTCTGAGTCTCCGTCTTTGCGGGAGAGGGAGAGGAGGAGGAGCGAGGATAATTCCGTGCCCATTGATCTACTGACGGAGAGCGTGGCGTCCATGGAGGAGGACTTTGAGATGGGCTGTACTGGCGATTACGATGAGGATAGCAACAGGGATGGCGATGATGCGCGGGATGCCCCCTCGGCTGAGATTCGAGTCCGGATGGAACTTGAGCGGGAGGAAGGAGTGGATGCAGCGCCGGAGCTGGAGCTGGATCTGGAGCGAGAGCCGACGCGGGAGCCGGAGCGGGAGCCGGATATCGATTTTACGTGTATGCGAGAGGCTGAGGCGGAGGAGGATGAGGGGGGGAGAGTGGCGGTGGTGGCGCTGGGCCCGCTGGGTACCGACTGCGATGGGCTCGGCGAGGCGGGTATCCAGGAGTGCTATACGCGGAGCGTGAGGCGGAAGAGTTTGGGGGGCTTGGGGGCCGAGGGGAGTCCGTCGAGTAGTCCGCTCAAGGAGGTGGCGTTTGGGTTTGAGGATGTGATTTGGGGTGGGATGGGTTGTTAGGGGAGGGGGGTCTGAGGATTGCGGCGAAAGGAGTAGAGGAGAAGTTCGGAGTTCTTGTTGTTATTATTATTACTTTGATGGAGTTTCTCAATCCCAAGGTTAAGTTAGTAAGTCAATTCAGTATTCATTTTTGTTTTTGTTTTTCGCACTTGGTCTATGTACTCCAAATCAAATCATCAATTGCTGAACGTATACATACTTACATCAACATATCGTCACTAAATCACCCCCCCTCCCCGCTCCCTCCCCCTTCCCCCCCGCTTGATTTTCTTTCCTCACTTCTTCCTCTCTTTCTTTTCATCCACCGCGTCTTCCTCTCCCTCTCTATCTCTACCGGAACATATTCTACGTCGACGGCAAACGAACATACTTCCACTAACGACATGATCTCTCTCTCCTTCCTTCCCCTTCCTTCCCCTCTCGCCGCTCCTCGCGCTTTGCTCTGCACTCTTTGCTGAAGCCAACTAATCAACCAATCAATTAATGAAGGATCCTCTCCAGCTCCCGTCCAGCTTCCGTCCAGTCCAGTCCAGGCTACTACGGCAATTCCTTCTCTCTGTTTTTCTCCCTCTGCCCCGGCTCGTGGTTCGGCGTGTTGTTTGGCTTGTGGATGAATAGATTGAAAGGGATGGTGATATGGTGGTGAGAATGGAGGAGAGTGGAAATGGGATGGGATGAGATGAGATGGTGCTTTTTGGACATTGGTCGGGGGGTTTGCGTGGTTAGATGGGTATGTATGTGTGGGAGGGCGGGTGTGTGAGGGTTTGAGGTTTGGATGTGGAAGTAAAAATGGAAGTGAAGGATGGGATGGTGATAGAAGTTGATTAGATAGATTCCATTTGGTATAGAGGTTTGGCGAGGATGGACAGAAAGAAAGAGGGATGAAGAGAAGTAATGAGTGGAGTAGTGCCAAATAGCATAAGCGCAAACCCGAACTGAGAATCCGCCTTTAGAAAAGGGGGGCCTACAGCTATCGATTTCAGTAGTATCGCAAGGTGGACGGCGCAACTAGAATACATCCCTATGCAATCTGTACGATGGCACTTTTATTAGCTTTGCTTTGCATGGCATACAGAGGTACCTACCTACCTACCTCTCTCTAAAAACTAGATAGAATCGTCCCTAGCTACTCATACGGTACGGAGTATAGCTAGCTACCTGTTAACCAGAGACGAAACAAACACCTTACCTCGCAAACGGAATGATCAATCAGGCTTACTTGGTTGACATGACTGGTTTACAGGTACCAGCTCATTTGACTATGACCGCTACTTTCGCTGACCAAAGTTACTGAGGTTGGAGAAGTTGCCGGGGTCTCGGTTCCCATCGGTTTCTGCCTCTTTTCTTCTTCTCCTTCCTCTTCTCATATCTTGGATCTTGGTGTTCTTACATGCGAGATGGATTTGTACGTTTACTTTTCTTTTTGGTGAGGCAGAGGAGGGGGTTTTTTCGCCTGCACGCCTCTTCTTACGACTTCTTGCACGGGAGGGAAGCTGAGCACCACTTCGGCCTACGTATTTGATTTTGGCCACCGCTCGCTCGCTTACAAGATTTTTTTTTCTGGGAAGGGGGTTTTTTTTTTTTCAAGATCAAGGCTAAGACCTAGATTTCTTTTGTTTTGGTTATTCTTTCCCAAGACTTGTTATTGTGCGACGTATCGGTATTTTGCTTTCTTTTTCTGTTTTCCTATCATATTCGAGGCCGCTCTGGAAGTGTATGTGGCCCGTGGTGAACGAATCTGAGCCGAGGCTGGTTTGGTACTTGGTGTCTGGTGTAGTCTGAGACGTTGTGGCTTCTTTTTGAGCTGGCTGGCTGGTGGTTCGACTAGGATTTCCCCGGTGTGAGTTATCCGCCACAGTCAGCTGGCAATAGACGGATAGGTGCATGTATAAGTTTTGAGAGAGTGGTCTGAATTGGGATCTGTGTATATTCTTTTGCGATTGTTGGCGGAGACTGATTCGGGAGGTTGGGGGACACAGAGATATGGGCTAGTACTACCTACTAAGCTGTGGTCTATAGGATGTTGTAGGAGAAACGTCTTTAAACACGACTCCTAGAATAGTCTCATACTAGCGATATGGACCCTGTGATCGAGCGAGTTCCAGGAACCAGGTTGAGGGTATCAGCTGGTGGAGATGCGGCCGAGACAGAGATCACGCTTGACAACGTTACTTCAGCCGCTCTTGGACCATGTTCCCGGGAATCCTGTCTCGGGACGGTCCGCGTTCGAAGGGTTGGAGCTTTGGAGTCTGGAGCCCCAGTAAATGAGTGAGTAAACAAGCAGAAGGAAATAACCCAAGTTTGACGTCATGACATTGGTTACGGAGCTTAGCTTAGACTATATACACTTTACGCCTTTGATAGACGAATGATCATCCTCTCTTCTCCCTATTCAAGGCTCTTCAAGAGACGAAATTTCTGCTCACAGATTTAGAGACCCGAGCGTTATTGGCTAGCAGCTGCGTCTTTGGAATGGATAATAGGGGCCAGGGGAGCTCGCTTAAGGGTCGAACATATCGATACACATCCAGCTGAGGCTTCGTCGCGTTGAAATACTCTCGCACGGGATGGCGTCGGGAGGCGGAAAATTGCAATTGTCTATGCCATTTTCTCAGCTGCTCCTGGATCTCCTGGATATCATTCTGACAATATTGGTTTCTCCAACGGAAATAGGGGCTCGATATTCAACGGTCACCGACATGATAAATAGAAGCCGGTATTCCCACCTCTTCAATCCTCACCTCACCTCACCATCGATAATATCCAGTCAAGAGCTTTACTTTAGTACCCTCGACTATCTCCACTCGTTTCTATCCATCGTGTCAAGTTCCCCGAGATGCCTTCCATCATGCAACTCTGCAGTGTTCTGCTCTTGGTCCTCCCCGTCCTGTCCTCGCCCATCGAGGAGATCGCCGACTCCGGTCTCAGCAAGAGGATGACCTGCAATCGGGACAACCTCCTGAGATGCTTCGATCCAACAGCCACGGCCGCCGCCCTCACGCGATCTAGCGCGACAGCATTCTGCTCCAGCTTCCTGTCGATCCCAGTCGTCACAAGCACAATCTCAACCGAGACCTCGACAACGTAAAGAAATGACTGCCTTCCTTGATATGGTGACAGCGTGATTGACATGTATGTATCAGGATGACAACCACGGCCACGGAATACACGACAACCACGCTCCCGCTCGCCATGAAGCGAGCAGCCAACACCAACCTCTTGCAGTGCACAACTGCATACGTTGCATCGCGGCTCAGCAGCGCCTGCTCATGTCTGAACATCGTGCCCTCTACGGAATACGTCACCGCGACATCCACCAACATCCAGGTATATCCCCTTCCCATCTCCTCTCCTCTCCTCTCCGTACCGTTCCACACCCGCAGAAGATCACCATTAACACCCCTCCGCCAGACCTCCACGACGACTGCCACATCCACCGCAACCGCAACCCCCTCCCCCCGCTGCCCTTTGTCCAACACAAACCTCATTTCCAACCCCGGCTTCGAATCCGGCCTGACCTCCTGGACCTTCAACACCTACGGCGCCAACACGCCCCCCAGCGCCTTCGGCGCCGTCAGCAACGGCTACGACAGCGCCACCGCCTTCAGCCTTTCCGCGAGCAACGCCGGCACGGGCGCCACCCTCTCGCAGGTGGTCAACGGCCTGGTCCCCGGCGTCACGTACACGTTCGCCTACCGCTACCTGTACGCGCAGACGGCGACGGTGCCCAGCTCCATCAGCTGCAGCCTGACCGGCGGCGGCCTGAGCTCCCAGAGCGTCACGAACGGGGGCCCCTTGGACACGTGGATGGCCGGCCCCTCGAGCTACGGGGAGACGTTCAAGGCGACGGGCCGGACCGGGTTACTGCAGTGCTTCTTCGTTGCGACCGGGGGTCGGGGTCCCATCACCTGGAAGGTGGATAACTTCTACATTGGATGTTGAGAGTCAGAGGAGACCTTGCCTGCCAACGTGGGAATTGTGAAGAAACCCCCCCGCTCCCCCAAAAAAAGAAAAAAAAAATTATCAAACGAGACGAGGCGAGTCGAGTCGAAGCGATGGAGATTTGGTGTGCATATTTTATTTTAATATATCTACGAGTATAGTCTCAGCACTAGCTTAAATAATAGAGAGACGAGATTTTCTTCACTTCACACACCTGAAGAAGCGTTATGATTTCCCACACGATACGAAGCGCAAAGGACAGACTGACATTTTTTATTATATATATATATATATATATATATATATTTTCGGACCTTGATTGACGAGCGAGCGGAACTCGCCTAATCTAAAAGGGCAGGTGCGCAACAGACGGACGACACCCCACCTTACCCTAGATCCCTATGAGATTTGTCACACCCAAGTTGCGGTACGGTGGTCGGTTATGTGTCCATCCCACTGTTGTGCGTTGGACGTTGTCACAGTACGTACAGTACATGTAATCTGGCCGAGGGGGCGAGCGTTGCTTATCCGAGATGAGATCCGATCGATCGGCTTGTTCGTATCCACCAAGAGAGGAGAATCGTACCAACGAATCAATGAACCAACGAACCAATTTAATCACATTTGACTTCAATCTGTTCCCTTCGCGGCCGTTGCTTATCTCTCTAGTGGAGCTTGTATCTTTCAATTGTCCGCATGATTTCTGCAGCTTGGGCACGCGTTGGACAGCCATTGATTAATTACCCACGATGGGCTGATAGGAGAGCTTGTTTACGTTCCGGGTCTCTCTGTTCTGTTCTACTTTCGGCGTGCTCGTCTGTCTGAAAAGGTCCAATCTCTCCTGTCCCAGCTACTGTCTTATCTGGCACTCTTGGTCCGCTCTGTACTCATCTATCCTTAATAATGCCGTCGACGCCCATCGAGTCCCTCGAGCTTCAGCCACCACGGTCGGCCGTCTCAAGAATCGCCGCAGGCAAAAATGCGTCGGAGCCAGGCGTGGAGGAGAATGTGGAAGAAGAGGGATCTTCGAAAGACCTTGGAAGCGACGGCCTGAGGATGCTTGCGGGAAAAGAGGAGGTGGGAGACTTTGATGGCGCCGAGTCTCCTTACGCCGAAGGCAAGTGGGAGAGCCAGCCCAGCGGGCTGTTGCGCCGCCTCCCGGCTCGAACAACCTATCTATGCAAGCTCGCAGAGGCTGACAATTTGATAACATGTCTTCAGTCCGGGCTGTTGCGCCGGGAACGGACGACCAGGCGATACCCGTCAACACCCTGCGGATGTGGCTCCTGGGAATGGTCTTCACGATGCTGGGATCGGGGATCAACCAATTCTTCGCACTGCGGTACCCCTCGGTGCACATCGTGTCGCTCGTGGCGCAGCTGATTGCGTATCCCCTGGGCGTGGCACTCGCCAGGTCGCTACCCGTCTACACGATGAATCTGGGACCGCTGGGCAGATGGTGCATCAATCCCGACCGGCACTTCAATATCAAGGAGCACACCGTCATCACCGTCATGAGCAATGTCAGTTTCGGATTCGGCAGCGCGGATGCAACCAACATTATCCAAGCCGGGAAAGCCTTCTACAGTTTCGACATCAAGCCCGGATTCTCGGTTCTCATTGTGCTGTGCTGCCAGCTGATGGGCCTGGGTGTCGCCGGACTGGCAGCGCCGTGGCTGGTCGAGCCCGCTTCCATCATCTGGCCGGGCGTTCTGTCCAATTGTGCGTTGCTGTCGACATTACACACCCGGGCGAACGCCGTTGCGAATGGGTGGAAGATGAGCCGACTTCGCTTCTTCATGTACGCCATGGTTGGGGCCGGGGTCTGGTATTTCTTCCCCGGGCTCATGTTCACAGCGCTCTCATACTTCACCTGGGTCTGCTGGATCGCACCGAATAACTTGATTGTGAACCATTTATTTGGCATGGTCACAGGACTGGGCCTCAGCCCGATCACCTTCGATTGGTCTCAGATTGCGTATAACACGAATCCGCTCCTCTCGCCTTCTTGGGCAGGTAAGTCAACCTCTTCCGAAATAGAGGTAGTGTTTACGTTTGCTGACCTAGCTGCTTGCGCATAGCCATGAATGTGTTTGCCGGCTTCGTGGTCTTCTTCTGGATCGTGACGCCGGGACTCTACTACTCCAACGTCTGGTTCACGGCGTACCTGCCAATCTGCACAGCCGAGCTATACGACAACACGGCATCCGTGTACAACATTGCGCGAGTGATGAACGCCGACGGTACCCTGAACGCAGCAGAATACGAAGCGTACTCGCCATCTTTCTTGCCAGCGACGTTCGCCTTCGTCTACGGAATCTCGTTCGCTTCTCTCACAGCGGTCCCGATCCACATCTATCTCTGGCACGGAAGCCAGATCAAGGCGGCGTTCCAAGGAAGGACAAAACTCGACATTCATGCCCGACTCATGAGACTGCATACGCAGACTCCGTGGTACTGGTACGGTACGATTACGATTGTGGTCATGGCTATGTCGATGTTGATGGTTCACTTCTACCATACCCAGTTGCCGGTCTAGGCGATCCTGCTTGCGACGATCATTCCCGCGCTGTACATTGTTCCCTGTGGGATCATCCAGGGTATTACGAACGTCAACGCGAACCAGCTGAACGTTCTGTCGGAGTTCATTGCCGGGTACATGTTCAGGGGGAAGCCACTGGCCAGTGAGTCCCCTCTTTCCCAATCCGCGAAAGCGGGAATCTTTTGGCTAAGCGAGCGGACCAGATATGATTTTCAAGATCATGTCCACGGATGTCGTCGGCCAGGGGCTCTACTTCGTGCAAGACATGAAGCTGGGTCACTACTTGAAGGTTCCCCCGCGAACACTCTTCTTCGCCCAAGGAAGCGCAACAGTACGTGGCGTTCTACGATCTCCGCGTCAGGTCTTTCACTATTAGTTAACAAATTTAGATTCTCGGCGCGCTGACCCAAGTCGGCGTCACGTTGTGGATGCTGGGAAACGTCAAAGACATCTGCTCCGCCGACCAAGCCAGCGGCTTCACGTGCCCGAACGGACGCACCGTCTACTCATCATCCGTCATCTGGGGCGCCATCGGACCGGCGCGCGTCTACTCCATCGGTAGGATCTGGTCCGGCCTCCTCCATTTCTTCTGGATCGGCGCGCTGATGCCAGTCATCACATGGGCCGTCTGGAAATACTGGAGGAGGAGCGATGGCGCGCCGAGGGAGTGGCTGCGGTTCATCAACTGGCCGCTCATCTTCGTCGGGACGTACAACGTGCCGCCTGCCACTGGCATCAACTACAGTAGTTGGGCGCTGGTCAACATCATATTCAACCACTGGATCAAGAAGAGATTCTTTGCTTGGTGGTGTAAGCCCCCCCACCCCTCTTTGGACGCTTGATATATTCGCATGCGTACTGACAGCCGAGTAGCTAAATATAACTATGTTCTCGCTGCGGCTTTGGATACAGGTCTTGCGCTCTCCGCTTTGGTCATCTTCTTCTGTATAACGTATCCTGGAGGCGTATTCCCCGACTGGTGGGGTAAGTTCAGACACTTATCGTCCCTTTTGATGTGACAATCTAATTTTGGCGATAGGAAATACGGTGTACATGAATACCGCAGATGGAAACGGCCTTCCGTGGCTACCGCTTCCTGATAGCGGGCGATTTGGACCTGCCAATGGAACTTGGCATTAAGCCTATGTTCTATTCTTGTTTTGGGGTTTGTTCTCGATATCCTGCTCTGCCAAACTATCGAGTATATAGTCTTTGTGAAGATTGAAGAATGAATAGTGGAAATAAAATGTTCGTTTTATTAAGTCGGTGTAGGCGAGACGAGTCCCAGGTCCTCTCGTTCAGGTACGAGTTCTCCCGACTGGCTTCAGCGGGTAGCGCTGATAGGAAGATTTTATCGGCTCCATCTTGATACATATCCGGGATATTGCCGGACTTGCTACGTGTTGCGGAAACTGCCTCCATATCTCGGTCCAGAGCACTGACATACGCGGCTCAAGAATACAATCAAATAATAAATATATAAAGATGGAGAGGGGGGTTAGAAGAAGGACAAGATTTTTGCTTTCTATTGACTTCAGAGTTCGGGTTGAGGAAATGGCTAGAATAGCATCGAGCCAAGTGCCAAAAGCAGCATACGCAACACAGTACATATCGAAGCGGTTACCGCAACACGACGAAACTAAACACATCGGAGATTTGTGTGGACTTAAGTAGAGCCTTACGCACATGGCTGCAATAGTCTTTTGAAAGATTGATAGATTTGGAATGGCTGAAGGTGGGCCTTGGTATTCCCGAGCTGGTATGTAACTGAATTTGCTTGCTCTTACAACGCATAGAGCATATAAGAAGACAAATAGCAAGCGAGCAAGCGGCAACGGAGAAGGACATGTAGATGGTTTTGAATAGAACTGATATGTGTACCTGATGAAAGGGATGTTGGAATGAATGAATACAGGAATGAAAGAGCCTCGAGTCTTAGAGTAGGATAGAGGAGATAATCGAATAGAAGACACCGCGTGAACAGGAATATTAAGACCAACCCAGACGAGGCATCAGGTCAGAGACTTGGGGTATGAAATGGATTATGCCTTAAAGTTTTGAAATGGGAAGCGAGACTCCAAGCTGAGAGAAAATCTCGAGAGTTTTCGTCGATCGAAGATGGGCATTGAGTTGGACAAGAAGTTCGAAGAGACATGGAGTGTATATGTCGTCGTTCTTGAATCACGTGATACGCCCCAACTGGTGGGATGTCCGGGGCGGACCCCTCCATCTCGCATCATCAATGACCTTCGGATCTCTCCAATTCAACACCACAACACCACAACAAACCTCAAGATGCCGGTATGGTTCTTCCCCCCCTTCCCTCTCAAACCTCTCAGACCTCCCAATTCCCCATCTTCTGGTTCTCCAACCCACCCAACTAACTCTCCCACAGGCTTACAACAGCATCTTCAATGCCGACTCCCACCCCCCATCCACCGCCAACATAGGCGCCTTCCCTCTCCTCCCCCTCCGCACGCGCGTCCGTGGGCCCGCCTACACGCTGCCGCCCGACGCTTCTCTCCCCGCCCACCTGTCCCCCGAGCCCGACAGCGAGAGCTACGACGCGCTGGACGAGGTGCTGAGCCTGTTCCGGGCGAACACTTTCTTCCGCAACTTTGAGATTCAGGGCCCTGCGGACCGGCTGCTGATCTATGGGATTCTGTGGGTGAGCGAGTGTTTGGGAAAGCTGAGGAGTGGGATGAGTGGACGGTATGTTTGGCCTTGCTTTCTTTTTTGGAATTTGTGAGGTGGGGGAATTTTGGCGCTGAATGAATGGATGGATGGATCGGTGGATAAGGAGAATACATGAGATCGTGAGACACTCGAGGGTCTGACGGTTGGGACTGGGGACTGGAGCCTAGCATTGGGCTTTTGGTTCGATTTGGGGCTGGAGACATGTATGCATGCAGATGGAAGTGTTGTAATGGCCTTTGAGGCAAATCGTGCTGACATCCCACCCTCCACAGAGAAGCCCAAAAAGAAATCCAGAGCATAGCCCTCGACAGCAACTTCGCGATCCCAGGCGACCCCGGATTCCCTCTAAACCAGGTTTGTTTTTTCCCTTTCTCGCACCTCCCGTCCCCATTGCTACATTCCTTCTCCTATTTCCACTCCCCCTTAAACCCTCTATCAATACTTCTTGTTTTCTTCTATCAACAGAAACGTAAAAAAAAAAGAGATCGAAGAGTAATGCATGTTGACAAATACCCTTCCCAGATGTTTAATCCCCCAACCAACAGGAACGAAGCAGAAACCCTCCGCCAGTACCTCTCGCAAGTCCGTCAGGAACTCGCCATCCGCCTGCTCGCGCGCATCTTTGAGGACGGTAGCGACCGGCCGAGCAAGTGGTGGCTGAGCTTCAGCAAGAGGAAGTTCATGGGGAAGAGCCTCTAGACGCGATGCAAAGACAAGCAAGCAGGCAAGGAAGGGTAAGGGCATGGAAAACGAGAACGGGGACGAGACCTGATCGGCATCGATGTCAGTCAAGTGGGGAAGGTTGTTGGTTACAGGCTAAGGGTGGGAAATTACACGAACTGGAGAGGATATGCGGGATAGCGCTGAGCGTGGATGTCATCTGAGGGCTGACGCGGGAATTCTGCACAGTGGCGGGATCGAAGTGGTGGTGAGCATTAAACGATATAGTGTGAGAAGTGCCTCAAAGAATAACAACGGACGGACGGACGTACGGACCAAAGATGTGGAGTTTAACGTACAGATGGAGAGCCCCGAAACCAATGATAAAGATTCTTATAGATCATTTTAATCGTTTCATCTTATTCTACCCCGTCTCCATTTCCAACCAAAAGGAAATATCTAGCTAAATACTCAACGTTCACACATCTATTCATTCATTTCATCTATCTCGTTCTCTCGACTCGCTCGTCCATCCCTCCGTTTATTTACTCCCACTCAAACCATACCTTCACACCAATCATCAACAACAACAACAAGCGAAATTGCGACAATCCGATAACTCTCTTCTCCTTCTCCTCCTTTTTCCCCCCTTCTCTCGAAAGACAACCCAGCTCAGCTCAGCTCAGCTCAGCTCAGCTCAGCTAGGAATCTAACTAACACCTTTACCCATCTCAAAGTGAACGCCGATCAATCAACCACTTAAATCGGATTAATCAATTACTTACTCTCGAATGACTCTCGGTTATATTACTACGTGCAGCGCCGATAGCGAGCCTTGATTTCCCATCGCGCAGCGCACGTGGCTTTGTGCAATTCGGCAAAGGGCGATGAGGATGGTATTTTATTTTATTTTATTTTATTTTATTTTCTGTTTGCTCCCTACCCCACCTGAGGTTCATCAGGGGGAGCCGATTCCTTCCTGTTACCTGCTACAGTACGGTACAGTACACGAGTGGGAGAACGTACGTGCGCGGGCTGTATAACGGTATACCGGTAGTAGGTAGGTACCGGTAGTGTAGTGTTTACAAGGGAGTTTGGTGTCCCCCCTGAGGAGGCAGGTACCGGTACCGGTAGGTATGTCGCGCTAAGCGAGGCGTGGGTTTTTTCATTCCGTAAATCGAGCTGACTGAGCGAGGCTTTCTAACTTCTGCTTCGATCGGGTTGATCGAGTTGGGTCGATGTTGATGTGCTGATACTTTGAGTTACTTACTTATTCTTATAAATATCTGGATATCTGGATATGTATATATGTATATATGTATATATGTATATATGTATATATGTATATATGTATATGAGCGAGCAAGCAAATAAAACAAAACAAGAGAAGCGAAAAAGCGAAGAAGCGAAAAATCCTGGCAATAACAAAGTAATCCATTCAAGAACTCCATCTCGCGTGGCGTGATAATTTCATGTGCTCCGTATATATTCGATAATAGCACCGTGAAATCATCCACGCAGCAGCATCATGAATTAAGAATCAATTCAGATAATTTCATTTATATATTATCAAGCTTCCGCTTCTTCGGCGGGCCTTCTCCATTGACAAGAAGCACACCCTCCACAGTTCTCATGGCCGCTTCCACAACTTTCCCGCGCCCCTCCCCTTCTCCGTCTCTTTCTCGCTTATCCAGAACCGATTTCCTATTTTCGGCGACGATTTTCACTCCATCAGCATCATCATCAGCGTCAATTTCATTATTAACATCATCGTTGACGCCCTCTTCATTTGCTTCACCCCCTCTCACCGCTTTCTCCGTTTCCTTGTCCTTTTCTTGAACTACCTTCCGCCGGACGAACTTCCCCCTCGCCTCGATCCGTCCCTGGGCGGGCAGGACCCTCGTCCCGGTGAATAGGTAGCCCTCCGCGCCGCCCTTGCCCGTCATGTGCGGGTGCGTGCGGCCGGGTAGGACTTGCCATGGTCTGCTGCGAGCGCTTTGCACGGAGGTGGAGAGGAGGAGGGTGGGGTTGAGTGGAAAATCGGCGTCGCCGGGCCATTTCGCTTGAGCGGTTTCCAGGTCAGCGGCTGTCTTGGGGGGCGCCTCAGGGTGTGGGTTTGGGCTTGGGTTTGGAGTGGTGAGGGGAGATGGGGAGAGATGTTCGAGGTCCAAGAAGGATTGCGGCGGTGCCTGGATGAATGCCGTTCTTCTGGAGGTGGAGTAGACGTCTGAAAGTGTGACGAGGGGCTCGATGGTGGGCGAGTAGATGGAGACTTGGGCGCCGCCGCGGAGTAGGGGGACGGTGTGCCGTAGAATGGAGGTGGGGTCCATGTGTGAGGCTACCACCAGCCCGTCGAATTTTCCTTCTAGAGTCGCGTGCACGACTTGCTTGACTCGGTTGTGGCGTCGTAGTTTGCGATAGTAGGTTCCTCTTTTTCCGGATTTCATCGAGGCGAGTTCTTCTTCGGAGAGAGGGGTGACTGGCGTCGAGTATGTGGTATCCTGGTCCGGGGCTATCAGTTGCAGCCAGGAGATCTGGTGCAGGTGTGTTGTGAGGGGGTGGTTGGGATGTGTGGGGGGAGAAGCGGTAGGGTCGTAAGAGAAGTATCTTAGGAGAGAGAGGTTGGGCTGCGCGTTGTTGTGGATGAGGGTGATGGTGTTGGATTTTGCGAGCGGGGAGTCGTTGTGGCGGGTCGTTGATATTTGTTCCCCTTCGCCTTCTGCATCATCGTCTTCGTCTTCATGGGGATGTAATATCCCCATCCGTTCTGCCAGCGCTGCGACAAGAAGCCCACCCGTTTCATCCACAACGAGCCACCGTCCTCCGGTGAGGTCAGGGTGCGATTCCGGGGCTTCAGAGAAGTGCACATTCGCCCAGCTCCCTACCAGCGCCAACATCTCCTCCCTACAGGTCAACACCTTCCCTGCATCCTTCTCCTCCCCAATCCACCGCGTCAACATCGGCACGTCGACCGGCAGGATGGTGAACCGTCTCAGATACTTCTTCGTCTTCAGTAGTTTGTATTTTGCAAGACTGAACTTTGTCTTTTCTTCTATCCCCAAGTGACTCGCCATCAGCTTCGCGATGAGGTCTTTGCCGGCACCCGTTCCTTCCCGTTTGAGTTCTTCGATTTCAGACATTGTGAGGGTTTGGCGAGCCGAGTCATCAATGGTTTCGCGATTGGAGCGCATGATCACCTCGCCATTCTCGCCGACGAGCTGGAACTCGACGCCGTCGCCGCCGATGATGATCTTGTCGTCCTTCAAAGTGCCATTTCCGTTGGCAGGGGGATTCTGGGCAGCAAGTTCTTCGGCGATGGTATCGGCGTGGAGCTCAGAGGCGGGGACAATGCGCAGGGAGGAGTCTTTGTGGCCAGGGAGACGGTCGAGGAGTTCGTAGGTGTGGTTGTAGGGGCGGCCAAGGATGAGGTTAGAAGGGAAAGTGCCATATTTGGGGATGGAGATCGTTCTACAGTGGTTTAATTTGTGATTGTAAGACGGTGGATAATAGAGCGAGAGAGCGAGAGAGCGAGAGAGCGAGAGAGCGAGAGAGCGAGAGAGAATCGATCCGAGACTCACGTATTGGGGGTTATTTGGAGGATCTTGAGGGAGTCGGAGGTGAGGCGGAGGACGACCCAGGCGTTGGGTTGGACGAGCGAATGCATGGCGGTACGGGGGGTGACCCAGTGCCAGAGGTCAGTCTTTGACGTTGCGGAACCTTTTCCATCGAGGTTATTGAGACATGCTGATGAGGGAATTGTATGGTGTGCGGTGTGGTGGTGTGGTGGTGTGGTGGTGTGCGGTGTGCGGTGTGTTGAGGTTTGAGTGAAATTCTGGTCAGCCTTGCATTTGTCCTGAACTTTTTCCCCGCCAAGCAGAGACACCATCTCAGCCTTCTTTTCCATCACGTGCCTCAGTTCGGCGATACGGGGAAAAGGGAATTGTGAACGAGAGTAAGGGTACTAGATCCCATACATATCTAGCCTGCACGTAGGATAGCTTGGGATCACCGTATATCCAGGCCGCGTAATCAAGGTCGTCGTCAACAACATCCCGATCACGGGAGCCTGGCAAGAGAAGTGGTTGACACCGCCGTATCTATTTCTCCGTGTGGCTGATGTGATGGATACGATAAACGATGACCGGAACTTGGCATATACGTACGGTAGTACATGCGATTTCTCTTCAATTCAATCGTCTTTGCACCAAAATTCCATATAATTCGCTGCCCCCGTTGGTTTAGCTACCATCGATCGATTATTGACTTTGATATCGATCGACGACATAGTTGTATATCAGGCTGGTACGGGTGCCAGGCGGCCTGGTATGACCTCATCGGCCTGCCTTGACTTGTGGTACAACTACAACAGATCCGAATCACGACAATTGCATTGAGCAACCCGCTGGAATCCAAGCTCCCCCGTCCACGTTCCCGTCCACGTCCACCACCACCTCTTCCTCCTCCTCCTCCTCCTCCTGGCCATAGCTCAACCTCAAACCCCCCGCCACCCCGCGACAAAGTTGCACTCAAGATTTCTACAAGCTTGCCTTGTATAGCTTTGCATTGCATTGCTGCACTGGACGCAGTATATTGTCTCGGCCTGTCCCGACATCCAAAGTCACATTGAACCAGGTCGGAGACATCAGAGTCAGAGAGAGAGGGAGAGAGGGAGAGAGAGAGAGACCCAGGCGACAACAAGTAATACGCCGTCCGAAGTCTTGATCTCACAGCCCAACGCCGGCACCTCCACGCAGAATACGAAATTTACCACATCCAACCCAACTCAACAATGGTCACTCGAAAGCCGGTCCCGGGGAGCCTCGTCCCGGGATCAACATCACCACCCAAATCAACGGCAATCATACCGCCATACCCAATCACACCGGCAACTGCGAATGTGCCCGCACCCTACCCAATGGATGATGCCCGGACCCAGTTCACGGCAGACGCTACCGCAGACAAAGAGAATACCTGGAATCGGGATGGAGTGGAGAGTAGGAAGGAAATCCCGGATCTGCTGCGAGTCGGTCCGCCCGCAGGATACAACACGCCCAAGATATCACAGGAGAGGCTCAGACCAGAGGCAGCGAGCACGAGCACGAACCCATACTTGAGGAAGCAGCATAGCGGGAGCTCCATGAACGGCAATGAGAGTAGTGCCGGTGCTTGGGGCGGATCAGATGGGAGACCTGCACACCCGAGTGCGAGCTCATCTACCAGTACGTACATATGCCCCCCGGCAGACTCTGTGCCCACGCAGTCGCTCCGTAACCTCTCTCTCTCAGAGCAGAGCACAAATCCGTGGCAGCCCGCTCTAGATTCAAATGCGCCTCGGACCAGGCCACCCATACCCTCATTACCCCAAGAAAACTCAGGGAACGATGCGTGGGCTGTCCCTCCCCCAGCTAGAGTAGCCCCTTCGGTGCCTCCAATCGATACCACGCAACATGTCCTGATCGATATTGACGAGCCTGAATCCCCAGCCTGGGACGAGGATGAACCGTCCCCAGTCATACACGAGATGCCCGCAGACAACACTTCGGCCATGGCACAAATGCATGACGATAGACACGCGTGGGATGATCAGGTGAAACCTATCCCGCAAGCTTCGCCATTCGTTGTACCCGCTGTGCCTTCAGAAGGCTCGGCTGTGCCACAGCAAGGCGAGGGATGGAATCTGATCGACCATGAACCCATGCCAGTGGGAGCTCAAGAAAGCGGCACAGTCAGAGGTGATGGGCAAATCCTCGACAAAGATTCTATAGAGGAAGCTCCAGCACTCCCGCCGAGGAGATCCGAGGACAAACCACCGCCACAGCCCCCCAGACCGGTGGCATCCCAGACCAGCACCGGTGATAGTCTATCGAGCCCAGCCACACGGAAGCAGACCGGAGAGACGTATGAGATCAAGAAGATTAGTTGGTTTGACAAAGACGCCAAGAAAAATCCACGCATATCGCCGATTCTGGTACAGAATGCAAATGGCCCTTGTCCTCTCTTGGCGCTAGTCAATGCTTTGGTACTCTCGACTCCCGCGCATATTGATACTGCTCTGATTGACACTCTGAGATCAAGAGAGCAAGTCAGTCTAGGGCTTCTTCTAGATGCCGTGTTTGATGAGTTGATGTCTGGAAGACGAGGTGATGCTGCTCAAGGGCTGCCAGATGTCAGTGATTTGTACAAATTCCTCGTTGCATTACATACGGGCATGAACGTCAATCCTCGCTTCTTCTCCGCGGCACCAGTCCCGGGCTCGAACGATCCTCGGAATCCGATTGAGGGAGAAACATCCCTTCCTGGTACCTTCGAGGAGACAAGGGAGATGAAGCTGTACAGCACGTTTTCTGTCCCACTCATCCACGGGTGGCTTCCCGAGGTAAATTCGCCTGCTTACGCGGCGCTCAAGCGCTCTGCTCAATCGTACGAAGAATGCCAGAATATGATGTTCCACGAAGAAGTGCTAGAGGAGAAGCTGCGGGCTGAAGGTCTGAGCTTCGAGGAACAGGCAACGTTGGAGGACATAAACACTATCAAAGCTTTCTTCGCCAGTAACGCCACTCAACTAACACCTTACGGACTGAACATCATCACGGCATCTATCATGCCCGGGGGAGTAGCCATCCTCTTCCGAAACGACCACTTCTCGACGCTATACCGCCACCCCGATACCCTCCAGCTCCTCCAACTAGTGACTGACATGGGCTACGCAGGCCACGAAGAAGTGGTCTGGGAATCTCTGACCGATGTCAGCGGCGAGAAAGCCGAATTCCTTTCCGGTGACTTCAGGTTGGTCGGAGGTGCTTCAAACGCAGACCCAGATACACGGGCGCCGGATAACGGTGCGCAAGGCCACAGAGCAATGCCTAGCTCGGCATCTCGCTCATCATCTCGTCCACAATCACCCAACACAGAGCAAGAAGATCACGATTTTGCACTCGCCATGCAATTACAAGAAGAGGAAGAGGAGCGTCACCGCGTCGAAGTTGCCCGTAGAATGAGAGAGTCCGAATTAAGCCAGCAATACATCGAACACCAAGATCAGGCGCGAAACCAGAACCAGAACCAGAACAACAATATTCCCATCCCTCAACGCCGCGGCAGCTCCACGCCCCATGGAGGCGGTGGCCTTCGCCCGCGCCCCCCTTCCCGCACCAACACCGACGCGCCGGAAGCCCGTCCTGCCATCCCACCTCGTCGTATGAACGCAGGTGACCGGCCGGCAGACCCTGAAGCAGGCGACGAGGCGCCGCCGCCGACTTACGAGCAGGCTGCTGGACAGGAGGCATATGTGCCGCCCGCCAACCATCCGGCGCATCCGGGTAGTAGCCCAATGGGAGTGGCGGGAGGGGGCGGGAGGAGAATGAGTGCGTTTAGCATAAATAATTCCGTGCAGAGTCCAGGTGGTGGGTTTGGTGGCAATGGGAGAGGAAGTGGCAGAGGAGGGAGAAGACCGCCGTTTATAGAGCAACTTCCGGGAAGGATGGGGACGCTGGGGAGTGCGTATCCTGGGGGAGCGCAGCAGCACGGGCATCAAGGGAAGGATAGGGATTGTGTTGTTATGTGAAATTTTGAGCGGTAAAGAGGGCAAGGAAGGACTGGTATGTGCAATGTACAGGACTGCGATGAGCTGGATACAAGGCGCAGATATGGTACATGATATGAGTGATGAAACTGGTATAGCGGGCCTGGCGTTTTATCTCTTGGATTATCGGTTTTGAAGGTTGGATCGATCTACTTCTACATGGCTCTCTGGGCCTTGGGGCTCGAGGTCGGAGTTGGGCTTGGGGTGTTCTAAGGACTTTTCGCGATGGATGTATGCTGGCTGTATACCATTCTCTCCGGACATGGTCTGTCCCCACTCGTTCAGATGATATAATGCACGCGATTGAAGATGATTATGATGTATGCTCGTTGTACCTACGGGCATGGGGCGTGTGTTTTTGCGTATGGGAAGTATGGGAAGTATTGGAAGTGTGTCCGAAGTGTGAAGTAAGTGATGGATGGATGGAAGGAAGGAAGGAAGTCAGTCCCAGGAGGGGGAGGACGGGGGAGGGGGGCTTGAATGTTTTTTTTTTTTTTCTTTTCTTTTCTTTTTTTTTTTTTTTGGTTTAGGAGTTGAGATGAGGTGAGGTGAGATGAGGTGAGGTGAAATGAGGAAGTACAGCCAGCATACGTCCCCTGAGAGTATATCCTTGTTTTATCCGCTCGATATATATACTATTTCAGATGAATGGGGGTCAGGTTTATCTTGAGTTGATATGGATATGGATATGGAAAGAAAAGAAAAAGAGAAGGAAAGGAGAAAGAGAAGAAAAAGGGAGGAGATTGTGGAAGTGATATTAGAAAAGACTGAGATTGAGATTGAGATTATGCGTACTATGGTATATACTTTGTATACTTTGCTATGCCTGCAATGCTATATACTGCTATCAAGCTTCTCTTATAGAGAAGAGTTGGAGGGGGGGG